GTTGCCCGATGCTTTTAGCATCCTCATCGTTGAAACAAATGGTCCCCTTCGGTATGTAATCTCGAGTTTATTTTTCCCTTGTAATGGACACCTTAGAGCGCTTTAGCATTGGCCCCTGGGGATGTCGACTCCACCAATGATCATGTTAATGACGTGATGAGATTCCTTTTGCTCGGTTTGTTTGTTGGAGTCCCTATTCCTAAAGTAATTTTTGGCTCTATCACTCAGAAATTTTCGGAGGTGCCCGTTATTGAATAATCGGGCCACTTCTTCTCTTAGCTATCGGTAGTCCTCGGTCCTGTGGCCGTGAGTTTCATGATACTTACATATCAGATTAGGGTCGTTTTGGGTAGGATCGGATTGCAACGACCGAGACCACTTGGTATCAGATTATATGTGACTTTTCTGGTTATCCCATATGGCTGAATTAGTTATTAGTTAATACGTTACGTGTGGCTAATTATAAGGCTACCATTTGGCTTAAGGAGAGGGTTTTTCTCTCTCCTTTTAATAATATATAGATATAGATATAGATATAATCAATCAATAACTATAGTAAGACTGTTTACCCTTAAAAACGGATAACAATTGAATTTATACGCAATTTTAAGAATATGTGGATTAATTCAATACAAGTGATCAATGACGTTAGATTAAGCAAATAAAAGACGTAATAAATTACCAAACCAATGATAGAAATGAGTCCGAGCTCGGTTAATGATTTAAGGGGAACCTGCCTTCAGTTTCGAGCTTGAACTTATGAAGAACTTATGAACAAAAGCAAGAACTTTGAATAACTTTCAGAAACAGAAGTATATTGCCTTGGTATGTGTGTTACAGTATCCCTAATGAGTAATAAACTTTCCCTTTATATAGTAGGGGAGTCTTACCCTAGGTACAATTCTAAGAAAGGTAAAAACCTTCAATTTCGCTAATCACTAATTTTCTTCCGATACGGTCCAAGATTCACGCCGTGATATCCGGTTGGGCACGAATATCATGGCCCTTTTGTTAGTCATGTGTGATCGTTTTGGCAACGCTCTCCGAAGTCTTGGGACTCGAACCGGACCTGGGGACGTGGTCCTGATGGCTCAGAGGGTAGGTGTCTCGCTCGGGTCTGATACGAGAGGATCTTGGTGTTGATTCCGATTTCTTATTCTTGGTGTTGATTCCGATTTCTTACGCTCGTGTCCTACTCCGTTTGCCTCATCGGGAAATCGAGGTGCTCATTGAACTCGATTTCATCCATATACAAAGATGAAGCAGAAAAAAATTTAATTTCAAATTTCAAATGGTTAATAAAACATGTAATAGCCAGGTCAGCCAAGGTCACAACCTCAAGCATAAGTAATATTATTAAACCAAATTAAAACACAATTTGTATCTCTTTGTATGATGTTTAGCACAATTCGTTGAATTATTTTTTCTCCCCCCCCCCCCCCCCCCC